TTGGCTGTCTATATCTTGTTCTTTTATAATTCAAGTTAACTGATTATGAGACTAGGTCATCTCCTACAAAGACCATGCATTTTTAAATATTCTTCTTTGCTGTTACTTGTTCTAGAATGGTTTTCACAACTAGATATTTGTTCCTGCCTCTCCTCAGCCAGAAAGGCTTCACACAGACCATGGTTCCAATTCTTTTCTTCTTTACTCGTGAGAGAGTTGTGCATGAGAAAGAGAGAGAATGGTAGGAACACTCTCTACAAAGGCTGGTTATACTGTACGGGCCTTTCCACAGCAAATCAGATCTTGAGCACTCACATGCCTGCTTGCCTGGCATGTTTCAAGCTGACTGGGCTGAGGATTTGAACTGTGGTTGCCAAGTAAGTTCCAGTTTCTCTTAGTGCATTACTGCTATGCCAGCTAGCCAGCCCAGTTTTCCAATTCTTATTTCCACCTAAGGTTCAGCCTGACCACCACTTTCTATGTGGTCTCCCCCAAACAATCCATTTGTTCCCCTATATTCGAAGTACAATCCCTGTACTTATACCATAGATACTAACTTTCTATTTCTTTGACAAGTATATAAACTAAAAGTAGAGATGTATTTTCTTTGTATCTTCCACTGAAACTAACTTTTGCAAGCTATCTGTTTACCAAACAAATAGAAACACTTCAATTTGATTCTCAGACTGTACATGTTCTTGATATATAGAGCTTTAATTCCAGGAGTGACTATCTGATGTTTTCTAGGCATTCCATTTACTCTCTCAGGTGCTTTTCTGGACCACTGTTGATTACAGACATAAGTAACTTTGAAAGGTTTTGGCTGTGTTGTAGGAAGCTATAAAAAAACACTTATTTATTTTTAGGTTTGGTCATAGGGTGCGTGCACTCATCAGAGACAGACAGAGAAGGAAAGTGAGACATCACCCTCCAAGATGGCCATGTCGCAATCCCTTCTCCTCCATTCTCTCCTTGAGATGTTGGGCATGCACACAAAAACATATGCCCAGTGTGTTTTTCAAGCTGCCGGGTCTGGGACGTGAACCACTCAGTCAGCCATGTGGGATCCAGCTGCCTTAATCACCACACGGCCTTGTGGGCCCAGAAATTTTGAACGATTGTTCATTAGAATTTTCTGAGATAATGGAAATATTGGAATGTGACTAGTATGGCTGAGGAAACTACTATTATTTTTTAAAATTTCTTTCTTTCATAAGAATGAGAAAGACAGAGAGATAGAGACACACATGCAGACAGGGTTCTAGACAAGGTTTTGCCATACTGCAACCCCTCCCCTGCACCTCCGCCACAGGCTCCCAGTCAGCCCGAACTGCAGATACACACTATTTTGGGACAGACGCAGGATCTGAACCCTTAGGCTTTCTCATACAGCTCCAGAACAGCACAGCAGTGCTCTACTGTCTGAGCCACTGTGGCTGGGCTAGGAACTGATTTGTTTTTTAGAGAAGTATTATATTATTTAATTTTTATTCATTCATTCATTTATTTTAATTTGACCAGAGAAAGAGAGAGAGAGAGAGCGAGAGAGAGAGAGAGAAAGTAAGCGAGCAACACACCAGGTCTGGGACTCGAACTGTGGTCAGCCATGTGGAAGTGTCTAGCGCCTTAACCATCATGCCACCTGGTGGTCCCCAGGAACTGACTTTTTAAATTAAATGTAATGAATTTAAATCGCCACATGTGGTTAATGACAATCATATCGAACAGTTTTAGGGGAAATAAAAAGGTGCTTTTACAGCTTGCTTTCTTGAATGAGACTTCCTTTTTCTGGTTAACTATTGCTACTTTGCCTCTGACTAACCATTCCTCTAGCACCCTTTCTGAACAGAGGTCCTGCTCTACAGAAAGAAAACTATGTGCAGAATTACCTTCTCAATTCTCCCGAGGATGGTATGGAACGAGAACCATCCCAGAATTTACAACTGTGCTTTATGAGAGAGAGCGAGAGAGAGAGAGAGAAAGTACGAAAGCAAACCACCAGGTCTGGGACTCGAACTGTGGTCAGCCATGTGGAAGTGTCTAGCGCCTTAACCATCATGCCACCTGGTGGTCCCCAGGAACTGACTTTTTAAATTAAATGTAATGAATTTAAATCGCCACATGTGGTTAATGACAATCATATCGAACAGTTTTAGGGGAAATAAAAAGGTGCTTTTACAGCTTGCTTTCTTGAATGAGACTTCCTTTTTCTGGTTAACTATTGCTACTTTGCCTCTGACTAACCATTCCTCTAGCACCCTTTCTGAACAGAGGTCCTGCTCTACAGAAAGAAAACTATGTGCAGAATTACCTTCTCAATTCTCCCGAGGATGGTATGGAACGAGAACCATCCCAGAATTTACAACTGTGCTTTATCTATAAGTCACATAGGTATACATTTATCTACTTACTACTGATATATATGTATAGATCCCGATCTTTCCTAAAACAAAATAAAATTTTGTCTTAAACAAAATGAACAAAATTTGTAAACAAACGAAGTGTATAAACAAGATGTTTAAGCAAAAATACTAAGTTATTTCCTAATTTGGGCACTATATGAAATATCACAAACATCTACAGATATGTTATTCAATACATCCTAGTTACAAATGATTTAATCCTAACTTTACTTATTTATTTGAATGTGCCAGAGGATGCATGCACTCACCAGAGACAGAGACAGAGAGAGAGAGCATAAGTGGGATCAAAAGCAACTCCCACAGGCAGTGATCATGCCATAATCCCCTCTCCTCCATCTTTCCCTCCTTTTGGGATTTTGGGCATACATGGACACATGCCCAGCGTGTTTTACAAGCTGCCAGGTTCAGGACTTGAACCATACACTCGGCCATATGGGATCCAGCTCACATAACCCCAGGCTATAACAGGCTGTCTGACTTTAAAAAAAAAAAAAAAAAAAGCCTTTAGAACTAAAAAGAAAAATTCCAAAGAATCTACAGGTTTGAAATTTACCTTAGTCTTGTTTTATTTTATTTTTCCGGTTTTTGTCATAGGGCATGTGTACTTACAGGAAAAAGACAGAGAGAGGGAAAGTGAGAAACCACTCTACCCCACAGGGGGCATGTCTATCTGCAACCCCTTTTCCTCCATTCTCTCAGGATTTTGGGCATCATGCATGCGTGCCCCGTGTGATTTTCAAGCCAACGGAACTCTAGTACTTGAACCAGGATCAGTCATGTGGGAATCCAGTGCCCTAACCACCATATCATCTGCCGGCCCCTTTTTTTGCTTTTCATTAGTAAAAAAGTTAATAAACAAAATTATTGTTCAAATATGATTGAACGCAAATTCATGTAGAAAAGATCAGAGTTACAATGGTACACATGGTCATAAATGTGAGAATGACTATAATTAAACAAATAGTAATTTTCTAATTTTAGGCAAAGTGCTAATACCACTTTATATTGTATATATAAAGTCCAGTTAAGATTTTCCTGTATTTCATGAAAGCAATGAATA